GGAGGGGTGGGAAGGGAGAAAATTGCGGCAATGAATGAATGGAAATCCAAAACCTCTGTAAAAAAAAAAAATAAAAAAAAATGTCTTTAACAATCAAAAAGTGGTACCCTGCTCTACCCTACACCATCCTCATTGTCTCTAATATTCTTGAATCCATTGGCTCAGTCACTACGTCAATCCATCTACAGAAGAGTCCTCCTCTCTTTTTCTGGCCTTCCACTCTCCAAGTATGATGTCAATTTCAAATATGCCCAAAGAATGTAAGATGAAGTTTCCCTATCCTTGCCAAAAGGAGTATGTTGAAGACAAGATTTGGGCATTCTTTTGGCAGTCCGTGAGATATTTAACACTCTTCACCAACCACACAATTCAAAGACCACCAACTGTTTTGGTCTTCCCTAGTCACTGTCCAATTTTCACATTCACATGAGGCAATGGAAAATACCACAGCTTAGATCAGGCACACCTTAACCTTTAACCTGATATCCTTGCTCTCTATCCCTGTGGAGAAGTCCTTGAGAGCAGACTGTTCCCAGTGCAACATGTGTTTTCATTTCTTGACTGCTGTTGCCATGCGTGTTAATAGTGGATCCAAGTAAACGTCAAAGTATAGTTCTGGATAAAGTTTCTAATGTTTTATAGAATTTTAGTCAACTAACTCCTTTAGAAGAAATAAGAACTTACAACTCTAATGATGTTGCACACCTAAAAATTCAGAGTGTTCTAACAACGAAACAAAATATATGGAATTTCCTACTCGGTAACATCCTTGTTAATATCACTATCAAGGATTTTAATCTTTTTTCCACTGTGATTTGAAGGAAAATTTACAGAGATTAATTTTTCATTCATGTAGATTTTACACGCTTTCACTCTTTCCCATTTGTAATGCATGTCTCTGTCTTATTCTGAATGGTTACCTGCAATACACCTAATGCCTGACCATCCATTCATTTCAGGCTGATCTTCCTTCCACTGATTCCAACGCCATCTTCATTATTTACCCATACTTTTCCTGCTGTCCTTAAATTACAGCCTTTCAACATTCACTGGCGGGTGAGCCATGAGTCACTTATGACTCAACAGTATATTAAAAAAACACAAAACAAAACCACAAAAACGCAACACTTTAAATTATATAAATCTATAGAATTATTTTCCTTAATACTAAACCAATGAACTTGAGTGAGTAACAAAATCAAACACCAAACCCACTGCCCTCAGTTCAATTTTGATTAGTGGCAGGCCTCCACTGGGTTTCTCAGCTTATAAATCTTCATAGAAGACTGATCATCTTTTGCCCACAAGTCAGCTAGTTTATTCGAACCACCAATCTTTAAGTCGGCAGCACGATATATAATGCACTACACCAAGGGGGAAGCAAAACACCTTTCTACTCAAAGTCTCTGTAAATGTTCATTAAAATTAATAAAAAAACAAGCAACAACAACACAAAAAACCCTAAAAACCTCACACCTTTCTAACAGGTTTTCATAACTTTTCTTCACTAGATTCTAATGTTACAAAAATTATTCTAAATAATTCTGGCTCAAAATGATGCTTGTACACAGTCAACAGACAATATTAACACATCACCCTTTACAAAATAACTTACTAATCATAGCTCATTTCACTTATGACCGGCAAAGGAGGAGCAGAGATCGCAGCACGCATCCTTTGGACCCAAAGATTGCTACATCAGTCAGACTAGAACCATGTGAGATTAACAGTGGCCACAGCAGAGAGCTGAGACTGACATGGACAGAGCAGACTTGGGACCGTTGGCCCAGGGAACCAGAGCCAGGGACCTGCACCAAGCTTGCTGGAAGACTGCGGGGGTGGCAGACACCAACATTAGCAGGACAAAGAGACCTTTGTGACACCGGCCTAAAGTTGAAGGCTGGCATACCTGTGAGCACACCAGGGAAGCTGTTCTGACCAAAGAATTTCACACGGTGGCCACCCTAAAGTATAGCCTATCAACTTCACAAATTAACCGCATGACCTTTAGTGGTTCAATCCAACGAATTAAAAGGAGGGTCAAGAACACAGAATGCTGATTTACCATGAGATGTTTCACCAACTTGATGATGACACTTAGTTTTTCTGAAGGCACTCCAGGAGCTAATCTTGGAAGCCAGCGCAGGGCCACCCTAGACAGTTATGAATAAAGACATTGAGGTCTCCTAGGGTTAAATAACTAGGCTCAAGGTCAAACACGGCCAATGGGAGGCAGGCTGTTAGGAAATGCTTGGAAGCCATACTTCATTGGAGAGGGACACGAACCAATGACTGACTCTTCTTCCTGTCTGTGGACTTGTGAGGCTCCAGTGTCTTGGACAAGTTTTGGCTTCGTCTCCTCTGAAGGTGTCTGCCTCTCAAGCCAATGGTCTGAGACCCTGCCTGACTGCCTGCTGATAAGGTGGACCTACTAGCCCTCCTCAAAAGAATCTTTTTTTGATTACAGGCCCTATACACTGCAATCCCAAAGGCACGTGTTTCAAATCTACCAACTGCTCTGTGGGAGAAGGATGGGCAATCTCTTCTCATTAGATTTACTGCCTTCCACCTCTGGAAACCAGCTGGAGGGTCAGCTATGGGTCGTTGCCAACCTGATGGTACACAACAATGACAACAACCACCACCACAACCACCACCAGTACAGAACAGATGGCAAGCGCAGACTCTGGACCAAAGGTATAAGAAAACAAATATGACAGATATAATGATTCTCAAATCCATAGTTTAAGATGAAAAGATGAAGAGGATATCTCAAACACTGACAGAAGGAAGAAACTGGACTAAAGCCTCAAATGAGCTACAGAACGCAGATCCGTAAAGAGGACGGACAGCCGCTATGAAGAGGACGGGTAGCCGCTGTGAAAAGGACGGGCAGCCGCTGTGAAGAGGACGGACAGGGACGGGCCAGCCGCTCTGAAGAGGATGGACAGCTGCTGTGAAGAGGACGGACAGCCGCTGTGAAGAGGACGGACAGCTGCTGTGAAGAGGACGGACAGCCACTGTGAAGAGGACGGGCCAGCTGCTGTGAACCACTAATGGGGTGGCCTGGGAACCCAGGAAGGACACAGCAGCGGCATCCACAAAGGCTGAAAATGTTCCGTCCCCTTCCCACATGAGAACCCCTCATGCCTGTTCCTTCTCACCCCACCTCAGTGGGTCTAGCTGCACCTCAGCTTTATCTTGAGCTTGCAGGTTGTGGAGTAGTAGTCTGCCTGGAGCCAACCAACGGTGCCACGCCCGGCCTGCAATCAGGCCCTGTCTTTGGAAGCACATCCTCTCAGTACGGCCCCTTCATTTCCACCTGCCTGGGGCCCTGTCCTCTTGCTGGGGCCCCGCCACATCCCACAGGCACACCTGTCCGGTGACTGTCCCTTTAGGCTCCTCATTGCCAACCGGGTACCCTGTCTGCACTCCCATCCTGGACCAACAAAGACATCTCTGACCAGGCAAATGACTCTAAGGAACCTAGATGGAGGGTCAGGAAAAGAGAGGAAGACCTTCAACAAGATAGACTGGCACAGTGGCTGTGACAATGGCCTTGAACATGGTGCAGATCTTAACGATGGTACAGGATCAGGCGAGGCTCTGGTCGGCTTGTTCACAGCGTCGCTATAAACTGTAGCGGACTCCTAGGTATATAACATAACAACTTTTAACTTTCCCTTCTACTGAACTGCACATATTTAGGTCAAGCCAGAAAAGGCAGTTTGTCCAATTCAGACGCATTTATTACACTGATGCCATGAGGTACGATTATCCTCATTTCCCAAATGGACCTTAGAAGATTTCACAAGGTTTGACTTCCCAATCCCCACCCCTCAAATGTTAGTAAAATAAAATACTGAACAAGGATTCCAAGCCATTACCTCTGATCCAGTCATTACCTATATACCTAAGAATCCTAGAGTGGTGAATTACTTTTTCAATCCAAGCTCCTGATATACCAAGCATTTTTCAAAAGCATGGATGAAAATTTTTTAAAAGAATGATTTATTTTTTCATTTCTAGAGAGTTAGACAATGACTAGGGAGTATAGAAGGAGAATTGATGCCTTTGAGCTGTGGTGCCGGAGAAGAGTAGTGAATATACACCATGGACTGCCAAGAGAACGAACAAGTTTATCCTAGAGAGGGTTAAACCAGGCTGCTCCTTGGAGGCAAGGATACCGAAGCTTCATCTGACATACTCTGGACATGCTGCAAGGCAATACCAGTCCTTGGAGAGGGACGTCATGCTGGGAAGGGTGGAGGGACAGCAGAGGAGAGGAAGACTTTTGGTAAGATGGATTGATTCAGTGACTAGGGTAATGGGGGTAGGTGTGTCAGAGGCAGTGAGACTGGCAGGGTTGAGGGCTGTTGTGCATAGGGTCATTAAGAGTCGCAGGTGACTCAATGGCAAATAGGAACAACAGCAAGGGGAAAAGAGTGAAACCCTCTAACTTTTATTTGTCCAAGACTCAAGTCTTGAACACAATGGCTAACTATTAAAACTACTGAAATGAGCTTTCATCACATGAAACAATACAGGGACTCAAAGTTGTGCACAAGCTGAGTGAGTGGAACTGACAGTACCTTGTAGGAACCGGGACCTCGGTCAATCCTGAGAGAAGGACGGCAGGAGCCAACCTCACAAATGCAATGATCGGTCGTTCCAAAAAGTCTACTTCTCCCACCAGAACATTCGATGCCTCCGCTCCAGAGGGGATTTTTCTCATGAAATTCATGTCAACCTAACGACAAATATATGAAGATTAGAAATACATTCCCGATGGCAGTTGTATGATTTATTTAGAAGACTAAAGAAAAGAAAAATTCTTTTAAGCATATCTAATAATCAAAAACTGTGAATTAACGACTGTAAATATCACAATTTTCACAAATATAGAGAATGGGGTGGACAAATTTAAAAAAAAAACAAAAGAGCAAGCAAACACACCTATTATTTAATTGTGATATTATTTACTACTTCAGACATCTAGATTATCAAACATACAAGCTAGAGAAGATTTTCAATGAATTCAGCACTATTCATTAAAAACTACTAAGGATAAAAAAGTATAGTCACAAACTAACCACAGTTATGAAATTATACACAGTGCTAAAAAGTCCTCATTTCATAATTATTTGTTGCTTCAGCTTAGAACTGAATCGGTCCCCTTACATTTTACATTTTTACGGACCCCATTTTTGAAGAGAATGCCAAGACATGCCCAGTACGTTCCATAAGGCGGAAGGCGATCATTCTGATTTCATATGAAAAAGGCAATAGAATTGACTCTAGGTGTCACCCAATGCAATTTAGTTGTCTGTGTATAATTACAAAGAAAAGGTGACGGAAGGGATGCCAAAATACGGGAGCTTCGTCAAGAAGATGCAGTCTCACACAAGTCACTAGACAACCACTTACAAGGGCTAGCTAGTAAAAATAAAACCAGCACTTACAGCAGGCCTCTTGAGTCCTATACCCCGTGTGCCACAACTACAGTGCCAGGAGGCAGACTCCTGCCCGACAGGAGACAAGGAGGTGTACACAAGAATAGGCCAAGTAAACAAAGCACAGCTGAGACAGAGGAACAAAAGCAAAGGGCAGCTGCCGTGTCTAGGGGAGCGCTATGATATACCTTACAGTGCTCTATTCAGTTAACAAAAAGAAACTGCAACTGCGTTCCTGAACTCAGAGCTAACAGCAGCGTTAAAATAGAGGCATCCTACATACATATCGTCTTTCTGTACCATCCATGCCCCTTAGAGCAAAGTTCCTACGATGTCAGAATGTGAAAGTGCAAGTGATGGAATAAAATGTAGCCTATAAACTTTTTCTTTTATATTGGTTTACTTAACAAAGTTTGTATATGTTGTTTTTCACACCCAATCTTTCCTATGTCCTTTTACCCACCCCACCCCACTCTCTACCCATCAAAACAAAAATATGGAACGCTTCACGAATTCGCGTGTCATCCATGCACGGGGACCAGGCTACAATCTTCTCTGTGTCGTTCCCCTTTTAGTGTATGTGCTGCTGAAGCAAACATCCTATGTACTTTTAAACATACAGTAAGATTTACGAAAATGGAATCTCGATTGAAATTCTAACAATATAAATTATACATTAGATGTCAAGTACTGACAGCATCTTACATAAAATCATACTATCTCAATACTGAAATGGCCACAATAAATCATCCCTATGCAGTGTTATCAAATACTTCAAAATCAATTGTCGTTTTAAAATAATTTGGCTTTTGGGTCACCCCTCCATTTCACTAAATAATTATCTATCAAAATAAAAGTACACAGGTGTGACAGTCAAACTAAAAAAAAAATAAAAATAATATAAAAAATCCATGCCTTTACCTACCCATGGGGAAGTGCTGATAAGCTTCCCAGTGGCTTTCCAGAAAGAACTGACACCACGAGAGAGTAATTCTGGGATCGTGTTACAGCCTAGGAAAGGCTGGACCGCTTGTGCTGTCACACTGTTCCCAGAATTAACATTTCTAGTGGTGGGAGCTCCAGAAACAATCTGTGCACTTCAAAAGGCACAGAAGTTGCATGGTATCTATGGGTAGGTATAAATGGAAACACTGTATTACTCACACACATTTGTTAAAACTTGCAAAACTAGTAAGAACGTAGAGTTATACAAGTGGTCTGAGATGAAAAATAGTCCTCCTCCCATTTTTCTGACCTTTAATTAACGTGATCACATTCTCAGGAAGGCCTGTAAACACGAGTCTAGGTCAGAGAATATTAAAAATAACCGATGTCAATTAACCCACACTGAGATGGTATTTTCTGAATCAGAGTGAGTCAAGAGACACAGAGTTAAGGATGGAATTACCTTGCTGAAGTCAACAGTACTGTTTTCTCTGCTTCCTCCAGTTCCATTACCTTTCATTTCTCCACTTTTACTATTGTCCAAGTTTCCAGGTGCAGACTGTGGAGAAGCCAAAATACCTACATTTAGGAACAAATAAATCCCAGGTTAGAAAGGAGACAATACTCTGCTACATGGCCCTGTTCATATCCTGAAAGTGATGACCAACAAGCAACTGTGGCAAAGATTTAAAATCAAACAAAACAAAAAAGGTGCCATGTGTTAGTATCATACCAGCAAAGCTAGAAAACCAGTTAAGTAAGAATAAAGTTATAAAAATATAGTTATTAAAATAACACAGATGCGATTTACAAAAATGGTAGCCTTTTGCAAAAAGTGAGTAGATGTGAAGCCACAAGAGATAGAAGAAAGATCTACTAAGTCTGACATTCGTTACAAATCTTACACGAATCAAGACACTAACACATTTAACATGTCAGCACTTTGTACAGCATAATGATGTCTGAATACATTTCGCATGCTTAGAGGAAAAACAAAAACCCAATGTCAATTCTCAGACAAGCTTCAGCATTTTTGCTTAGTAACTAAGCAAAATTTATCAGCAAGGCCCACTAAACACAGGTTGTCCGTGAATTTGTCAAAATGTTTCCATTCATAACAGCATCCCCCAGTATTTTCATTTTTCTTGGGTGATAATTATTCTCCCTACTATCAATCTTCAAAAAACCCCCCACAATTTTAAAATACAGCAACAAAAATCTGGATTATGTAAACAGAGAAGGTGGGTTTTATAACCAAACAGACTTTGTGCTGCAACACCCACCCTGTGTCACCTTGTAGGTCTAGTATTAAGGAATTTATCTAACCTGCAATATTCAGACAAAGCTATACAACCCATCTGTCTGGATTAGAAGTCACAGATACTACACATACATTCACATTTTAATAAATTCACTTCCATGATTTTGTGATTAGATCCTATACTCTTTCATTTTAACATATGTAGTTAAATTCTAAAATTTTAAGTTTGCTTAAATAACCATGATTCATCTAAGGTAAAGCCTTATTTACTTTATATATATGAAATATATATATATATGAAAAAAAAAATATATATATATATAATATAAGGAAAACTGGAAAAACTCAATTAGGTTTACATTAACAAAAACCTTTTAATAGCCATTTCTCTAGTGAACATTTAAATTAGGGTGCCACAAGGGACCCCAGAATTCTCGGTATAAAAATATCTAACATCTACTCAACACTGTGCTCACTCTTTGGAAAAGATAAACAATTCTGGAATAAAGACTGTTTCTTAAGATGGTTTATTTTTAACAATTTTAGCTCAGTATAATAAAGCTATTAAGATATCATCTTTGATCTGGGTTCCTAAACTCCCAAGACAGAATCTCTTCCTTTATAAAGATACTTGTCTAAGGAGGAGGGCAGTGGAAATGTAAAGGAGTCGCTCTGAGGGGATGGTATCTACTCCTGTCTGAATACCAGCCGTTTCCAAAGAAAATGAGGAACATTATTAAAGCCCTTGGCAAGTGCAAGCGGGCCAAAAATAGGACTTTAAAAAAAAATTAACTTGATCTTGAAGACTCTGCTCTTTTTCAAAATTAGCACCCCGGCTGCACGCTAGAACCTTCCACTGTGATCTTCTCAAAGAGCCCTCTCCACCTGCAGCTGGGTTGCTCCATCAACAGAACAAGTCTCCCTGCCTCCCAGAATAAATTCCTGGCATTCGGGAAACAAATAAGCCCATTACTAATTGATTAAGTTAATTACTCAAAAAACTAACAATATTGTCACCACCAGAGGCGACTACAGCAGGATAATATTTCCATACTTTAACAAAATCATTATGTGAGGGCAGTCCTTGGTCAGAGATAGACTCAGAAGGCAGGAAGGGACAGGAGAGGACAACAAAACACAGGAAACGATGCGGGTGCAACGTACAGACGTCAGCCAATGTCATGAAACAGAATGTGTATCAGTTGTTGACTGAGAAGCCAGTCCATTCAGTATACTTTCCCTCAAATCACATTAAAATGTTTATTAAAAAAAAAAAGTGAAAGGAAAATAATGTCTGAGCCAAATCAACATTCACCCTAAAGCAAAGATTAGAAGGTCAGAGAAGGTGGGGGGCGGGGGGGGGGGGAAACGAGAAAGGAAATGATAAGGGCAGAGACACCATGTGGAAAATGTCACCAGTGTCACTTAATAATGTGTATGTTGTGTACTTTCAAGTTTGAACTGACCCAAAACAGATCCTCCAGTGGGTTTTCAAGAGTCCGTTTGATGCCACGGAGTAGATACTGCCCATCTTTCCCTTGCAAAGCAGCTGGTGGATTCGAACTGTGTGCCTTCAGAACTGCAGCACAGCTTCTTACCACTAAGCCACCAAGGCTCCCTAATGATATGTATGTTTGCTGTGTTGTTATGTGTCATTGAGTCGGATCTTCCAGCAGGTATTCAGAAGCAGTAAATCATATGGAGCAGATTGCCTGTCCTCCTCCCACAGAGCAGCTGCTGAAACAGTATGTATAGAACTTGCTAAATGGAAACCTAATTTCCTGTGTAAATATTCACCAAAAGCACAAATTTTAAGAAACCAGATAGGAAGCTTATGTGTGTGCATGTAAATGCACAAAATCAATAATGTGATTTAAAAATCAAACTCTGCTAGGTATCTTAGTTGTATTTTTATACCTTTTCCTCAAGTGAAACAACAACTCTAACTGGGGCAAATAAAAGTAAATGAAAAATATTAAGGTTGTCTGTCCCTCCAAAGTTGAAATCAGGAGTAGACAGAGGTTTTCAACTGGGAGCAAGGGGCTTGTAGCAGTTGGCCAACCTCTTGTGTTCAAATGGAGATCTTTGTCCAGCAATTAGGGAGAGCAGGGAAAGGATGTACAAAAATCCTACTGTACACAGGGAAGGCATATTTTAAAAAGTTCTAACTTCAACAAGCTGAGTTAAAAAAAATGAGCTACAAAACTAGAAGTGAGTTCCCTTCTGTACACATAACTGTTGTTGTTGTTGTTATGTGCCGTTGAGTCGTTTGTGACTCATAGCGACTCTATGTACAACAGCCCTAAACCCTGCTCTATCCTGTGCCAATCGCATTGCCTCTGACACACCCATCCCTGAATCAATCCACCTCATAGAGGGTCTTCCCCTCCTGCACTGTCCCTCTACTCTACCCAGCATGATGTCCCTCTCTAAAGAACTATCTCTCCTTACAACATGTCCAAAGTATGTCAGGCGAAGCCCCAGAATCCTTGCCTCCAAGGAGCAGCCTGGTTTAACCCTCTCTAGGATGAATCTGTTTGTTTTCTTGGCAGTCCATGGTACATTCAATACTCTTCTCCAGCACCACAGCTCAAAGGCTGTAAATAATAAACTAATGCAAAGTGCTTTCTCTTTTTTGGTATGAGTGTGCACAAGAATCCTCACCCTCTTCAAAAGGACGCTTAAGCTTTCTTCCTCAGCCAAAGCAGCATGAGAATTCAAGGGACGTCAGCTTACGTCCCTAGGTGCCATGAGCATCAAGGACAATTAAAACGTGGGGAGCTCTGGTGGCCTAGTGGCAAGGAACTGCAACTACAATCCCAAAGGCGCATGGTTCGAATCCACCAGATGCTCTGCCAGGGAAGGAGGGACATTCTCCTCCTGTACCAGTCAGATCTGATTTGACGGTACACTCACACAGAAATTAAAACAAAAAAGACAATTAAAAACAAAATTACAGTAGTTGCTATTACTTTTTCTTTAGTGATTGTGCACCTTCTATAGATATCTACTTTAAAAAACACAACAATTCAGGGCTTTATCTTATTTTCAGAAATTCACTTTTCCCTCCACTTTAATTTTTCTTTCCCCCTTCAGAAAGGCTGAGAAACATCCTGGTATACGTTCACAGAGGAAAATGTCAAGAGATCCTGACAATAGGTATATTTATCTAACTTACACAAATGACCATAAATATTAAATAGGCTAATCTAATAGCAGTATGTAACTACAAATGTATTAGATATTGTCATTATCAGGAAAATACAATAATGGGGTAGTTACTAGTTAGCATCAGTGTATGTTATACGTTGATGGTCAATAAATTAAAAATAGTCATTAAAACAGTGGGAGGTTTTTCCTAGATGAAGTTAGTAGGATGAATTAGAAGTATAAACTTATAGATACTTAATATTTTTTAATTATTATTGCAGCCCTTATAGAAGATTAGTTAAAAAAAAGATTAGTTGAGTCTTCTACCCACCAAAAAGAAATTAATTCAAAGACAAAAATAAAAAAGTCTATCATAATACACCTGCAGAACTTTGTTCCTGAAAATTTTAAGGTAAACTGGAATTAGAAATGGCATTAAGTCTATGCTAAATGACTAAAGTCTATCCTACAATAGAAGACTGTTGTTGATGTTAATGCTGTAGAGTTATAGTTGTACGACTCTACGAACAATGCAGCTAAACCTTACTCTCGCCTGTGCCATCCTCAGGATGTCTGACATACCTGAGCCCAGGGTTATGGTTCCTGTGCCAATCTACCTTCCTGACGGTCTTCCTCTCTTTCACTGACCCTCCACCTTTCCAAGTATGATGTTGTTTTCCAAGGACAGGCCCCCTTTTCCAAGGACATGCCCAAAGTACATGAGACAAAGTTTCACCCTGCTCTGAGGAGCATATAATACCACTACGGAAATGATTTCAAGCAATAAAAACAAAACCTCAATTTGCTAAGAAGCACAATGATAAAGAAGCAGCACTTGATGCTAAAAAGTACTTCACTCTTTGGAAAAAGCCAATTAGATAAAAAGTCCTTCATCCACTATAACATATCCATATGTGTTCATTCACTTTATCAGTGAACTACATGGTGGGGGTGGAGGGGAAGCCACCATTTAAAAAAATTATGGCCAATTAAATAAATATTGTATTTTTGCACTTGTGAACCAGTCAAGTGCCCTGCCTCCTAAACAAAAAAAATCACAGTAAAAGACATTAAAAGTGCTTAAAGTTTGTGTTCTGTTTCTGTAATTTAAATTGTTTGTATCATTCTACTCTTGCATAACATACCATTGTTAAGTGTCATGGAGTATGACCCATAGTGACTCTATGAACAAAAGATCTGAACTCTGTTCTACAACTATCGTCATTTCTCTTATGTTCATAGAGTTTCCAAAGTCCTCTTAAATAAGAGAAGTGGGTGTCATATATGATTAGATATTATTGTTATGACCAGAGTCCAGAATGAAGGCAGTGGAGTGGAGTGGACTTGGGCGGAAGGGATTGAATAACAATGAAAGAATTTTTTCTTTTACTTTTCAAAAAGAAAAGTGAACCGGGGGCGGTGGGGTGGGCAGGGAGAAAAGCGCAACAATGAATGAATGGAAATCCAAAGTCTCTGTAAAAAAAAAAATTAAAAAAAAATAGTGAATTATAAAAGAAAAAAAAAGAAGTGGATGCCAATCCTGCTTCCAAGCCTGTCTTAATCTGGGGGCTCTACCAAACCCTGTCCACCATGGGTAACCATAATGGCACTTGACACACCAGTGGCACAACATTCAGTATCACAGCAACCGCAAGTTACCTCAGTACAGCAACCTGACAGACAAGTGCTGTACCACTTGAGTATCTACCACATACAAACGGGGGTGGCAGAAAACATGCAGAAGTCAAAATAAACCATACGCATTCTATCTACATATGCTGCTCAAGCTCTGTGCTGAAAGGCATTCCAAGTGCAAGTGACCCTGAGGCAGAGAGCACCACACATGGAGGGTTTGGGATAGTTGCCTGCAATCAGTTCAATATTTTCCTCATTCTTCTGCTCCTGGCCTTCCAGCGCTTCTAAGTCTTCCTCGGGCGGATGAATTACTACAGTGGGGATGCCATCACTGGCGGGTGAGGCCAGTGGCTCTGGGACCTGAAGCTGACTCTGCTGGGAGCTTCTGGAGGTCAGTCGGCTGATGCTAGGGCTGGAAGGAGGGCTGTTTTGAGGGGTGGGTACTGGGGTGGTGGAGCGGGAGCCGGCGGGGGTCCCAGCTCTTGAAGCAGGAAGAAGATGCCCGAGAAGAAGGGACAAACGCGATTCTCCTCTCAGTGACAGGTTTGAGGCGGACAGACCTGTTCGCAAAGAGTGGCGGGAGGCTGAGAGGCCTTCCCCTAAGGTAAAACAAATAAATGAAAAAGACGATCAAGTTCACTGTAGAAGGTAAACAGACAAAAAAGAAGATCAGTCTACACTGTAAACCCCATGCTTTCAAGGCTGAAAACATCAAATTCGTGCTGTGACGGTTGGCATAGCAATCACAAATTAATCACCAATTAATTTTTTTAAATGTTAGAAAGTCACAAGGGTTGATGGAATGGCAAGTAGGTCCCTGAAGCTGTATCTCAAAACAAAGAAACATTAATGATGGATCAAGGAGGATAACATTCTACTAGAAGAATAACAACTAATACTGAGATGGGCTGATTTTCTTCCCCAACAATATCCGCTGAAATAAATGATAAAAGCCAACTAATCTAATGAGTAAAACCCACATCAAAACTTACCAGCATTGATGGCATATTTTTTCCCCCTACATTGTAGCAAACAGCTATATACTAGTACCTTTCACAAGTCCATATTAACATAGCCTAGATTACCTGACTTACAAATTAAAATAGATATATAATATTAAGCCAATTATGTTACCAACACAGAAACGTAATGTTCTCAAATAAAATGAAAAAAGAAAAATAATCAACATAGCAAAAGTCATCAATACGTTCTCTTACTAAAGAAAAAATGTTAATATTAAAGGATGCATAGTAAAAATGTAAACAAATGCATGCAATATTAATAAGAAATATTATAGACAATAAGTAGTATAGAAATGTTATAGACAATTAAAAATTATTTCTCAACACAAACAGCAATAAAGAAAAAAAATTCAGAATCTTTCAAAAGCTTACACAGAGTTATATTGAAATGCCTGGTTCTTCTAGTCAAGGTAACTCAAATAAATAACACCTTCTCTTGATACATATCACAAGAAAATGAACAATTCTGCCAACATGGTCAAATTCTAAGTAATAAAGCACCATAAAGTTCAGAAATACTCTAAGTATAAATTAACCTTGAATCTATCAGTAACCACCATTTAGTTGAAAAAGAAGTCATGTACAGGAAGACCATTAAATTATACTGTGTTGTTGTGTGCTGTTTAATCAATCTGACTCAAACCAATCCTCTAGGACAGAATTGTGCACAAACAAAACAAAACAAAACAAAGCTTTCCCAAACTGTAATCTTTATAGGAATATATTGGGTTCTATCTCTCACAAAACGAGGTGGGTTTGAACTACCAACCTTTTAGCTAACAGCCCAGCACCTAACCATTGTGCCACCAGGGCTTCTTACATGATAGCCATAACACTCAAAATACAGCCAAAATAACAGGATACCTAGGTTAAAATGGCATTTAATGGAAAAGAGCCATTGTCTTACAGGTTTAAAGGAAGCAAATCACCACTGGGAAATAATCAAAACTTAACTCATATGTGGAGAAAAAAGGTTTCATAAGAAACTTCTGGGTTAAAAAAAATTCATTTCACTCAAGCTGAAAACATAATAAATGATAAAAGAAAAAGAGAAGGAAAATGTAGCAAGTAGGCTTGAGTTGAAACTGAGTCATTAAAAAAAAGGTTAAGCATACTGGAGCACAACTGTAAACTGATTAAAATGAATTCTTTAATTGGCAAATACTAAGAAAAATGGACACAGGTTTCCAATAATTAATATGAAGGTGCCAATTTTCAAACTCAAAACTCAAACTCATTGGGGAGGAAAAAAAAAAAAAATCAAACCCTCAAGTGATTTCTTCCTTTGCTTGAGAAAGAGGCAAATGAAGGCAAAAACTCCAAGTGAGTCAACCTTAAGAGAGTGAAAGACGTAGAGGGCAAGAGAAACGCTTCCTATCCAAGCCCTGCTTAATCCACTGCTCACTTCTGACCAAGAGGAGAATGTGAGAATACGTGTCCACGGCTGTAAGCCATTCTCAAAACAGCACATTCACCTGGCTCGCAAGACTACCTCCGGCATAATACAAGAGGTAATCCTAACACCATTCGTAAAAACGTGCCTAAATTTTCTATGTATGAAAAATGGGCATCAAATCAACCTAAAAGCTTGCTTACATCCACAGAGGGCAATATATTCATGAGACGAGTCAACAACAACAAAAACATGTAACTTAGATTTTGTTTAAAAGCCAATGCTATTGTTGTCATGTGTCATTAAGTCAGAAGTGACTCCCAGCTGACCCTCCAGTGGGTTTTCAGAGGCCATCAATGACACAGGAGGAGACTGTTCATATTTCTCCCATGGAAGAGCTGGTGGATACAAACCCCCAACCTTTGGGTTGGCAGTGCTGCTCCTTATTCACTAGGCCAGCAGAGCTCCCTATGTTGCCTGTACTTAAAATGTATTCCTTTTCCCTAAGTTCCATAAATACTATAGACACCTGGAAAAGCAAAACCAAAAAATCTTTAAAATAAAAAGTAAGGTTATAAAACAACCTATGCAATTATCTGTCACCATTATCTTCCTTCTTCCAAACATTAACTACAACGTTCATTGCAGCTGGTAAGAAATGCTGTTACAGAGTCGAAGTGTTAGCGAAAATTAGATGCCACAACTTCGCTCACCATTCCTTTCAAGTAAGTGAGGATCAGAATGTTTCTTGCCTATATCTGCAAATGATCGGACAAGGGGAATCCGACTGGTGAACTTTTTCTCATTCTGGTGATGGTGTCTCTTCAGTAGAGCTTCCCTGACATTCTCCCGGATGGATTCGTCCAACTGACCAGAAGCGATCATGTTGTCCAGCACCATATCTACTCGGAAAAAAAGAAAGATAAAAAAAAGAGGAGTGAACAGTGTTAAAAAAACTAGCAAGCAAGCAAATGATTATTACTAGAACAAAACCTCCCAACAGATGTTTGAACTATAAAACGCTTTAGAAAGCGTTAAATTACATTTCCCCAAAGGTGTCTTAATAAGATGACAGCCTGAATGCATAGATTCACGGAATGAAAAACTTTTTGCCGAGTCTTATCTGCATGCTGAAGATACAGCACCTAAAGCAAAGGACTATTTCTTCTCTCATTCTTAGAGAGACAGAAAAAAAAACAAGAAAGAAAAAAAAAAGTAACCCCAAACTGATAAAATATGTGGTAAGAAATTCTACAAGACTAAGTTATCAGGTCTTAGAAGGATGTAGGGATGGAGAGACTGATGGGGGCCATTATACACATTACTGAGTTGGTGAAGAAATAATTTTTTAACTTACATATAAAAATATTTTGAAACACTGGCAACAACTTGACACCAGAAAGTTAAGCTTTCAAAAGTGTAAGAGTACAATGAAAGAAGATCTGAGAGACGAACTTAACAGAAAAACCCAACATTAACAGGTAACAATAGACTACTACGTGACTGAGTGCTGGATTATAGGCATTTACTAAAGGTATTATAATATGATGTGGTAACTGCAGAGCTAAAGATCTAGATGTTCAAAAGTTCAATTCTCCTAAAATCTTAACACAGTTTTTCAGATTCACCAAGGACAAGAAAGGATTCTGACAATTTAGATATTTGCCATAAGTGGTAAAATGAATGATAATAGTCAAGTATTTCTGGCCTGAGAAATTGTAATAAACTTACAGTTCTCTTGAAAATCAAACACAATAGATTTCTCCCCCCTTTTCATCCAGGTACAATCAGTAATGGTAGTAAGTAATCATATCAAGTTCATTACCACTGCATTTTAATATCCTATCTGTCCATTCTTACTATTTGCCCCAGAAGCCGCCCATTTGGCCAATTCTAATTCATGCTGATGTCACATATTTTTAGCCAAGAACTGTGCTTTGTCAGCTTTTCAATGACAACATTTTTTAAAAATTCTTATTTCTTTTTTATCTTATTGTGTATGTGTGTACTGTCGGATTGGATCCGACTGGCACAGGAGGAGACTGCCCCTCCTTCTCCAGCAGAGCATCTGGGGGGATTTGAACAGTGCGCCTTCAGGATTGCAGCACAGCTTCTTGCCACAAAGCCACCAGAGCTCCCTAATGACTAAATTTTCAGTAAAACATCAGACCATTCTTCAGAGGCCTTTCTTTGTGGATATGAACTTGTAACTTTCTGGTCAGGGACTTTTCTACCTTGACCAAGACGAACCCAACCATTATTGTCAAATCGATCCTGGCCCGCAGTGACACTGCAGGACAGAGCAGAACCGGCCTTGGTGCTTCCCAGGCTATCAGATGTGAGACCACCACATCGGTCTTTGCAGATAAGCTGGGAGGTTAAATTCATCAATCATTCAGATAGCTGGTGAGTGATTAACCACGGAGCCACCAGTGCTCCTTCTTCCAACTCACCCTTCAAATCTTCTATCAATTCCATTGCCACTTCCCACCAGATTTCAGGCTGTCATCATTTCATCTTTAGACTATTCCAAGAGGAGGGGGCTCTGGTGGCCTCACGGCTAAGGCGGTGCGCTACCAACCCAAAAGGCAGCTGGTTAAGTAGCTTTCTCCCCCAGTTGCTCTGATAGGGAAAGACGGGCAGTCTCCTCCCACGTGTTCTGCATCCTCCGAAAACCCACTGGAAGGTCAGCTCTGCCTCGGTTCTGCCTCGATGGCACAGAACACCAGCAACCTCCCAGAAGGATCCCGGGCCTGCTTGCTTCTACCTGACTTTTAATCTAAACACCAAATACATTGCTGCCTGACTGATCTTCCAAAAGCACACCTCAGCTCACTCTATTCTTCAACTTAAAAGTCATTATCAAGGGAACAAAATATCTACTATAAAAAAATCCAAGTTCTTCACCCAGCAATTCAAGGTTACTCACGACCTAACCTGTTTTCCAAATATATTTCCTACTACTACTGTTTAAAAATTATACATTTTTCTTCCTGCTCTTCACTATCTTTAGAACAATTTTTTTGCTTGGCTTGTACCCCTCAAAGTCTGTTCTTACATATTCAACTTCTATGATAAGCTGTACAGTTGGAGTGTCTTCCATGAAACTGCCCCTTCCAATGAACCTTGGTTCAAAACACTAAGAAACAAAATTCTCTCATCCCAATTTCCAAGATTCCAGACTTCTCGCCTTGCTTATCGTACCTGTTATTTTTCTCTTGATACTGATGCAACATCTAACTTTATAGACTAAAAGATGTCAACGCTAAAACAAAAAGTATCTTTCTTTACATGTCTTTTTCTCATACTGTTCTACATAAAAGTTCAACATACCGTTATTACATAAATGTTCTAAATGCTGCTTCATTTTTTTCCTTAAATACGTCTAATTTCATTAAAAGAGAATGCATAAAGCAACTGGTTTAAACCTGCTATTTCATCTAGAGTGCTTGCTCTCATATCCAGCATGATTGTTCCGTTCAGGATACAACTCCTCAGTTCAAAAAGACTGTGCAGGGACAGGGTGGCCACGTAAGGCTTGCTCCATCGGTCACCTCCATCTTCAACATCCTCTTCAAATTTCAGCCACCTGACAAATGCATGACATATAAAATATTTTGCAGAAGGCATCAACTTGTTTCTTTTAATAAGATGGAAAAATTGTCCTTATAAGGCAGTGACCACCAACATAAACTGTGATTACAGACACATTTCTACCAAGTAGGGTAACTGTCTATAACAGTTACACGTGTATGGAAGGTCCTCTTTCAATTCTACCTTTAACAATAAGCAGCCACATGGCAAAGTTCAGATGACATGAAGGAGTAACGAAGGAGGAGCAACGGAAAGGGAGAGCCCAGGGAGGAGAAGGGAGCTCAGGGGCAACTGGTAAAGAGCTGTGCTCTCAACCCAAAGATAAGCAATTCGAACCCACTCGCTATTCTTTGGAACAAACTCCGACAATTTCCTCCAATGAGACTAACATTCTCTGAAAACTCACCAGAGGCTTCTGACTTGACAGAATATAACAACAAGGAAGGAGACAAGACAGGATTGCAATTAATGTTGGGAAACAAAAGTGTGTATAAATTGTTGAATGAAAAACGAACATGTTCTGTCTCAACTGTGATTCAAATGAAAAATTTTTTTAAAAGTAAACTATGGCACTTAATAGTTCCTACTTCTAATTTTCTTCTGCAGCTGTGTGAAGTTTTGATTTTTTCAAAGAGGTTTCCTTAAAGACTTATTAAGTCCTTCAATCTCAAATGTTCACTCTTATAGTCAGAAATGACTCTTAAGAGACCCTCCAGTGGGTTTTCAGAGACTAGAATTGCATATAGGATGAGAAAGCTCATCTTTGTCCCATACTGGTGGATTCAAACCTGCTGTCTTTGGGTTGAGGAGCACCTCCTTAATCACTAGACCACCAAATCTACAATGGCACAATTCTTGATGACTACTGAACAATACTGTGGGTTATACGAGGAAATACTAAAGAGACTAAAGATAAAAACTGAGAGTGAGAACTTGTAGAAGCTGATGAAGAAACTCCCTGTTCCTTACTTTACGGCACTGGCCACCTCCCAGAATCAGGTCAGTCACTTCATGGCAAAAGAGAAGCCGAGCCAAGCCAGCCACCGAGCGGCCGAGGGGTCAGATACTTCATCACACAGAGAGGCCAGGCCGGGCCAGCCGCCGAGTGGCCGAGGGGTCATTACTTCATCACACAGAGAGGCCAAGCCGGGCCAGCCAGCAAGCAGCCGAGGGGTCTTACCGAGCCGTTTCCTTCCACTCGTACTCCTCTCCGTCTCTGTAGCACAGCTCGTCCATTTCCGTGAAGAGGTCATGGGGAATGTGCTCCTCATCATCGTCTTCCGTCCCGAGGATGAACTGCACTCTCTGGGAAGGCGTGTCTTCACGGAAGGAGAATTCAAACACCAAAAGGTTTCTCAATTTACTGCCACATAAACTCACAGTGTTAGAAGTAAAACACGTTCACTCTTAACACAATCCAACTCATTGTGACCCAGCTGGAGCCAACTCACAGCTGACCCTCCTGTGGGTTTTTCTTTTAGAGGGGTAGGTGTGTGGGATGACAGTGAGACTGGCACAGGATACAGCAGGGTGTAGGGTTGTTGTACACAGGGTCGCTATGAGTTGCAAGCGACTCAATGGCACATAAGAACAAAGGACACAGGAGAGTGCCCATCTTTCTCCCTCAGATCTACTTGTGGATTTGAACTTACGGCCTTTAGCTTATCAGCGCAACACCCTATGGACTTTGCCACCATATTGCATTGTTGTTGTAGTATCAGAACTGACTCACAGCTGACCCTCTGCCAGGTTTTCAGTTAATCACATGGGAGGAGACTGCCCATCTTTCTCCTGTGGAGCAGCTGGTGGATTCGAACCATGTGCCCTCAGGATTGCAGCACAACGTTCTACCACTAGGCCACTATAGCTCCCTATATTCTATTGGGTTGCTTTTGTTGTGTGCAGAGTCATAAACGACTCATAGTGGACCCTCCAGTGGGTTTTCAGAGGCAGTTTTAATTGCATAGGAGGAGAATGCCCATTGTTCTCTCGCAAAGCAGCTGGTCCCTTATATTCCATTAAGACTCCTACTAATTATTATGAAAATACCATAAACCTAAAAGAGCTGATAAGTAATCCAGCAGAGTGGATAAAATCTCCTGGCCCACAAGTGTGACTTAAAAGGAAAAACAACCTCAACTCACACGAATGTTCCAAGAGTTCCAGACTGCCTGCTCCTGCATATGAAGTAATCAGAAGCAGGACCGAGAAAGGCAATGAAAAAGTCTTTAAGTGGAGATTAAGTTCCAAGACTCAGCTCTTGCAACTCCAGGGCCGGAATACAATGAAGGAAAACAATTTCTCGTCTTAAGAATGTTTGTACTTCAACTGGTGTTTTCATGTGTAGACAATGTAGCTAAATTACTGCAGACATACAATTTCAACACAGTCCAGTATAGGACTACTGCTCTTTCTCACCATAAGAAGGAGATTCGCGTCCATCTTCTCTATCTGATTCTCTATCTCTTCTCCTCCGGTGGTGATGTTTGTGTCCCCGATGCCTGTGACGTCGACGGCTCTCTTTACTAAAAGGAACATGGACGCCAATATATACAGCTCTATGACCTATTGAAAGGATTAGACACTTATTATTGACTTCTTAAAAGACAGAAAATTATATACACAAATATCTCTCTGATGGGAGGAGATAGCATATGTTTCCCCATTCCCAAAATAGGTGATCTGAAAATCCATGGAAATTATATTACAATATCATTAATGTCACATGCAAGTAAAATCATGGTGCAGATTATTCAAGAAACAGCCAGTACAGTATAGCAACAGGGAACTGCCAAAAACTTGGGCTACATTCAGAAGAGGCAGTGGAATGAGGTGTATTATCACTGAAGTCAGATAGATCTTTGCTGAAAGCAGAGAATACCAGAACAATTACCTTTTATTGACTATGCAAAAGCATCTGACTGTGTGGATTACAACAAACTACAGTCATACTTGAGAAGAATGGAGATCTTGGAAAATGTGAATGAACTCATACGGAACGCATACCTAAACTAAAAAGCTGTTGTACAAACAGAACGAGGCAATACTGTGTGGTTTAAAATCAGGAAACGTATGTGTCACGTCTGTATCCTTTCTCCATTCCTACGTAATCTGTATACTGTGTAAAGAATTTGGGAAGCTGGACTCTATGAAGAAGAATGTGGCATGAGGACTGGAGGAAGACTCATCAACCAACTGTATTATGCAGATGATACAACCTTGCTTACTGAGTGAAGCAGACTTGAAACATTTGCTCTTCAGAGGGTCAAAAACGACAACCTTCATTCTAGATTAACTCTCACCAAGACAGCAAAAATCCTCACCACTGGAACAGGCAATATCATTATAGAAAAAAAAAAAGACTGAAGTTGTCACTTTCATTTTATGGGCTGTCAAGTCAAGTAAGAGTCAAAGCAACCCTATGCACAAAAGCTTTGAACCCTGCTCCTCTTCCCCAGGCCAACCTCACGATCTCTGACAAATCTATCCTCATTAGTCCAGTAACAATGCCAATCCTTCTCATTCAGGGCCTTCCTTTCCTGAGTGGATTATCCCTCCAGACAACATGCACAAAGGATGTCTGACTGAGTCTCAAATTCCATGCCTCCAAGGAACAACTTGGCTTCACCCTCTCCAGTATAGGCCAGCATCACAACTCCAAAGAATTCATTCTTCTTCTGTTCTTATGGTCATTGTCCAGTTCTCTGATGTGTAACAGGTAGTTGTTGAGACCATGGCCTGGATCAGGTGCATCTTACTCTCTAGACTGACCATTGTTGCTCTGCGGTACTCTGGAGAGGCCCCTGATATCAGACTTCCCCACTGCAATTTATCTTTTGATTTCCTGACTGCTGGTGCCAAGAGTGTTGATTGTGTGGAGTCAAGCTAGTTGAAGCTGCTAACAATCTCAAGTTCTTATCCATCTATCATGGGCCAATTGGACCAGTGGTGAGAATCTTCATTTTCTTGATATTGAGCTTCAATCCATATTGCAGAGTATAGTCCTTGGTCCTCTGGAGTAAATGTTTCAGCCCTCCTCTGTTTCAGCAAGCAAGGTGTGTCATAATGTGTATGCATAATGTAGGTTGCTAATGAGTCTTCCTTCAATCCTGGTGCCACATTCCTCCTCATAAAGTCCAACCTCCCAAATCATCTGTTCCTCATACTCATTGAAATGGTATGGAGACAGGACACACTCCCGTCCTGATTTTGAACCATGCAGTCTTTCCTTGTTCTGTGCTGAAAACTGCCTCCTGGTCTAAGTATAGGTTTCAGATGAGCACAATCAAGTATTCTGAGATTGCCATTCTTCTCAAGGATAATGGTAGCAGCAATAAAGAATACAAAAAAAAACATGCTGCATGGGGAAAATCTAATATCAAGAACCTCTCCCAAGTGCTAAAGAGCAATGATGTCAGTTTAAAGACTAAGGTGAGTGTCATCCAAGCCACAGTATTTTCAGTTGCTTTCTATGAATATGAAAGTTGAAAATGAGTAAGGATGACAGAATTGACACCTTCAAATTGTGGTGTTAGAGACGAATACGGAATGTCCCATGTTCTTTTGTTTCAAAAGAAATAAACAAGTTTCTTTTAGAAGAAATCCACCCAGGCTGTTCCTTAGCTGTTGTTGTTGTTGTTGTTGTTGTTATGTGCCGTCGAGTCACTTGTGACTCATAGCGACCCTATATACAACAGCTCTAAACTCTGTTGTGTCCTGTGCCAATCGCACTGTTTCTGACTCTCATCCCCATTATCCCAGTCACTGAATCAATCCACCTCATAGAGGGCCTTCCTCTCCTGCGCTGTCCCTCTACTCTCCCAAGCATGATATCCCTCTCCAAGGACCTGTCTCTTCTTACAACATGTCTAAAGTATGTTAGGCGGAGCCTCAGAATCCTTGCCTCCAAGGAGCCGCCCAGTTTAACCCTTTCCAGGATGAATCTGTTTGTTTTCCTAGCAGTCCATGGTATTCTCAATACTCTTCTCCAGCACCACAGCTTAAAGGCATCAATTCTCCTTCTATCCTGCTTGGTCATTGTCCAACTCTCTGATGCTTAACAAGTGATAGCAAAGACCATGGCCTGTATCAGATGCACCTTAGTCTCCAGAGTAACACCATTGCTCTTCAGTACTTTGGAGAGGTCCCTAACAGCAGACTTTCCCATGGCAATGCGCCTTTTAATTTCCTGGCTGCTGGTGCCAAGACTGTTGACTGTGGAGCCAAGCAAGTCTCACATACTTCTGGGAGATTTTCAAGAGGAGCCAGTACTTAGAAAGGGTCATCAAATTGGGAAAGATAGAAAGTCAGGGACAATAAAGGAAGACCCTATCAAGACAGAGGGACACAGTGACAATAATAATGAATATCACAGAATATCTTATCAAGGATCATGCGGATGGTGCCGGATAGGGCAGCTTCAGACGCAAAACAAGGGACTGAAAAGACCATAGCCTGAATCAGGCACACCTTCGTGATCTCAAACTGACATCACTGCTTCTCAATTATCTGGGGAGATCCCTGACTGCAGACTTTTCCAGTGCAATACATCCCATGTGCTGACTGCTGGTATCAAGTGAACCGATTGTGGACCCAAGGATGATGAAATCACTGACAGTTTCAATCTTTTCTTCAGGTATCATGTATCAGCCGCTCCAGAGGAGTAGGGTGTGGGAGTCTGCGTACGTAAAGATTAGAAGCCCTCTGTCCTAAAGGGTCACTACGGGTCAGGGTCAAGGTGAGAGCAGAGTAGCCATGGGTTCAGGAGCCAGTGGCTTTCCTCTTTTAACCCTGTTGTTGTTACGTGCTGGCGAGCTGGACCCAACCCACAGCTGACCCTCCAGTGGGTTTTCAGAGGCAGTCAATCGCCCAAGAGGAGACTGCCCAACCATATCACATGAAGCAGCACCTGGTGGATTCGAACTTTGCGCCTTTGAGAATGCAGCACAGTTCCTTACCATTTTGCCACTTAGTCCTGGCATCTTCCTCTTCCTACCTTCATAATCAAGAAGACACATAACTAAAAAAAAAAACCAAACAAAAAAACCAAAAAAAAAACCCCAAACCAAGCCTCAAATTCATTGCCATCAAGTTGGAACCAACAAACAGCTGTCCCTCTAGCGGGTTTTCAGAGGCTATAAATTACATAGGAGGAGATTTTCCATCTCTTCCCCAGAGCAGCTGGTGGGTGTGAAGAGAGGTCTTTGGGTCTGCACTGCAATTTTTTTTTTAATTGAAATTTTAATGAAAGTTTATAGAGACGTTGGATTTCCACTCATTCATTGTTTACAGTGCCAATTCTTTACCCACTAGGCCACCAGAGATTCCAAAGATGACACTCAACAAAACAAGCTCATGAATTTCATTTTATATAAATTTTTAAGGAGCTGCTGCGTATGTCATATATGCTATGTCCGGCTGCTAACAGAAAGGTAAGTGGTTCAAATCCACCAGGAGTGAGACTAAGAGGGGCAGTTTCCTGCTATACAGCTTTACAGCCTCCAAAGCCCAGTGAAGGGTCACTGTGAGCTATCAATCAATTTGATAAGTCAGTTTTTTACTATCTGGTACACAAATTCTCATGACAGCATTACACTTGCAAGTTATATGATTTGCCTTACTTTTTACCAAGATTATGGACTCTCTATTTCGTATGCTTTGCCTTACATGATCTATTTTTAATCATTTGAATTTAAATTGCAGAGACTTTACCCCTTTCTTCCTAAATAGTTCACTGTGCACACAACATATTAACAAACTCTGTACATTCTATAAACTCACTCTGTCATATGTCCCGTTAAGGTCCTAACCGACGACAAGTTTTCTTTCCCACTTAAGAATCAAATCCAGGATCACATACTGTGTTTAGCGGTCATGTTCTGTCACCTAGAACAATTACTGGGTCTTTTATCTCTTCTGACATACTAAAAGACTAATCAGCTTGCCAGTATATTAATGTCCACAAAGCAAACCAAAACAGAGCAGGAGTTAAGGAAACACAACTAAAATATCTGTTTACACACCTCTGGGTCCCAGCACTCCTTTAAGACACATGGTAAGAGCTTGATAGATATTTGCAGAAATTAACTGAATCTACTATTTGAATAAATTTTACTCTACTGAATCCCAAACTTTCAAAATCAGCTCATTTTGCTTTGGAATTAACATTATGGAATAAAACTAGAGAGTAGTGGTAATTGCATAACTTAGTGAGTATACTAAAAACTACCACATTTAATAGGTTTTTTTAAAAAAAAACCAATGAATTTTATAAGAATTCTATCTAAGAAACAATTACAGTCATGTTGCAAGGAGGGATCAGTTCTTGGAGAGGAACATCTTGCTTGGAAGGGTTGAAGGACTGAAAGAGCAGGAGAGGAAACCCTGGATGAGATGGATTGAGTCAGTGACTGGGAAAATGGGGATAGGTGTGTCAGAGACAATGAGGTTGGCTCAGGGCAGAGCACAGTTCAGAGCTGTTGTACACAGGGCCACTATGAGTCACAAGCAACTCGACAGCACATAACAACAACAACATCTAAAAACAGTGTACAACAAAACTCAGTATGTTATTCTTTTCCTTTAGGGAAAGTACTTCCTATTGAACAGCAAGAAAAGTGGAACTTAGATGTGCTGATTCCTCCATCGCTGTACTGAGGAAGACAGTTCTTTCTCTAATTAGTACTAATGGGTCCAATGCATACAAGTCTCAAGGCACTAAGCGGAAATTAAATCCTCCAGGTCAGCAGATTAGAAAGAACAGACAAAAGAAGTGAGACTATTCAAGAATCTAAAAACAGAGTGACTGGACTTTCTATTTCATCCTCTCATTGCTTATTTTAACTTCTGTTCTCTTTCTTTACTTTACTCCCACCCAAGATCTATCCACTCCACCTTCCTGAGAGAAATTTAACCTCTCCCTCAAACTCGCCAACGGAATACAGACGTGCACAGAGTACGCAATGGAACAGGCCTGGAGAGTTACCAAGAGAAGTGAAAACCCCAAAAAAGCCACCCTGCCACTTCCTCCTTCACATTCTAGGTCACATCCTTTTGAGGGCAGACATTGAATGGTAAGCAATGGGTGAAATAGAACATTGTCTACTTATTTGGCTTAGTAAAATTTCTAAAATTCTTCACTTCCTTAGTACTTGTTGCTCAGGATGTAAAAATAAGCTTTTTAGAAATTGAGTTTCTTTCTGGAAGCTCTAGTGTGCCTAGAACGTTGAGATCCATTTTAAAAGATATTTGTGGGGTTTGTTGTTTTTATTCATTGTTGAACATTTTCTTCCCTCCCCTTGTCTATTCTGCAATGTATCTCTTGTTCCAGAATGCTGACATTCATAAAATACTTAATCATATATTTCTTTTAGAAATCTCATAATGTAAATGAGAACTCTTTTTCATCTCTTTTTAAAAGCAACAAGTAATAGTCATTTATGGTAATAACTATCACAGAGGACTTGTAAGTATGCCATTCCCAAGTAAGACAAATAAGTCTATGAAAACATTGACCACCACCTTAACCAAGTTCTTCACGGTTGACATCTCTAATAACTCAGGTTGATATGTATCCACTGACGGGAGGCAAGAAGGATATGCTACTTCTACGGAATTCTTCCCAAATATACACAACCTCAAGTGACCAATCAGACAGACCAAAAATAAGAGGCATTTTACATGATACTGTTTAAACATGCCAAGGCCATAAAGTCAAAAGAAGACAAGAGGAAAAAACCCAGAGGTTAGTAAATACATGATCACTGACTAGATTACAGTAGGTTACTAGATGGGGGAGGGCGGGAGATAAGAGTGGAAAACAGACTGTGGTGTCAAGGGTTGATTGTTTGAAATGGTTTTTCTAACCATTGACCCTGACTTTGCTACGTGGATGGGTGGGATCAGGCAACTAGGACGTGTTGGTAAACCACAGGGGGCTGGCTAGACTTGTCATTCAAATTGTGCAGAATCAGCCCAAAAATGAGTGAAGCTCAAACTGGCAAGGAAGAGGCAACAGGGCATGTGCTTGAGGGTCCCAGGTTCCTGTGCCAGCCAGTCCGGGATCTAGACAAGAGCAAATGCAGCCTCGGCAGAGGAGCAGAGACCTACCTGACACAGTGTTGACCTACCACAGACAGTGTTGGCTTGGGAAGGCTGCCCCAGGGAGCCAGAGCCAGAGGCCCCCACTCAGGCTTGCTGGAGGCCTGAGGGAGGACCCCATCACTGGCAGGACTCCAGAAACTAAGGGAACACTGACTGACCTAAGCCGTGAGGCTCAAGGTCAAAGGGCCTGTGACCACACTTGAGAAGCTATCTGGACTAAAATGCTTGTATCCAGCTGATCACTTTATTTATAACCTGTTAACTTCCCTAATAGACCCCATAACCATGAATACGGTTCTGTGTGGTCTGTGTAGCTATTGCAACAGATTTTAGAACCCGCAGTACAGTAGGGCTGGTGTTTGAATTGGGATAAATCGGCATGGGAGTGTGGGAGGCATGTCTGACCTCATGGGAACTGGTTTTGGGTTGTGGATGATGTTAATGGCTTCAGTTCCCCCTTGTACCATGGTCTTGGTCAGATATGACATGTGAAATGCTAACATGAGAAGCTGGTGAGCAGTATAAAGAAACTCATGAGCTGCACAGCTCTCTGGTGAGGTTATAGTGCAAGGTTAAAAAGCTGATGTAACCTGACATCCAAGCAGATATATGCACACCCATGTTTATCACGGCTCTGTTCACAATAGCAAGGAGTTGGAAACAACCCAAGTGCCCATCAACAAACGAATGGACAGAGAAGCTCTAGTATATTCACACAATGGAATATTATGCTGCATTGAAAAACAAGGAACTCGTGCAATATTATTCAAAATGGGTAAGCCTGGAGCACATTATGTGAGTGAAATATCTCAGTCACAAAAGGACAAATATTGCATGGTGCCACTGTTGTAAAATGGGATTGATATCAGGGTTGGGGTAAGATTGAGAAAAACAGGATAAATTGTGTATACTGCACTGAAACAGATGAGGGAGTGAATAATTTAAAAGTGATGTATGATAAGAGTATTATGGTTATCACAAGAGTCCACAATTAAGGTTGCATAGTGGAATGTACTTGGGGCGGCCGGAGGGGTGTGGGGGATTGTGTACCAGGAAGGGAGTGTTTCTTTTACTTTTGAAAGAGAGGAGCGAACTGGGGTGGGGTGGGGGGTGGGGTGGAGGGCTGGGCGGGGAGAGAAGTGCAGCAATGAATGAATGGAAATCCCAAATCTCTGTAAATGCTCATTAAAATTATTTAAAAAAAAAAAAAGCTGATGTAACACATGTGCAAAATAGCCATCAAAACAAAACCTTATAATAACTGTGGCTTTTTTGTCTGATAGTCTCGTTTGCTCATCAGAAAAATGAAAATTAGCCAATTTTTTTTATGTCAAGATATGTTATTTTTCAAACAGGTCCTAACACCAACCTTTGGCCCATTCTGCCCCTGGACAAGCTACAAATGCTTGCTCAGCTGCTGGGTGCATTCTTTAGTAGCATGTGTGAAAAGTGAATAAAAATGTATATAAAACAAATATTCAAATAGTTTCCATAGGACCACAGAGAAGTGTGACCCCATTGCCTAATCTTCCATATCATTGCATCTGTTCTGTCCCACCCTACTCATATAAAGACATTTCAAAACTAGCAATAATTAAGTTAAATGGCCCCACCAAATAACTTCATTCAAGCTAAACTTGGAGTTAACAACTCTCAAAATGGTATCTACACATTAATACTAGCTGAAGCACAACTTGTTGGATGCCGTTTCATTCCACTTTCCCAAGAATTAGCCGATTTTGAGCTATGGTCTCCCAATTTTCCAAATTAAGCAACAGTACCAATAATGAAGTTTAAAGACTATTCTAGAATCCATTGCACCAATAACGCCAACAAATAGCAAATAATCAGAAAGGGCAAATGTGGAGATTCCTAGGGCTGCTGGCCACGTTCTATTTCTAGACGTGGATACGGTTACACAGGTGCCTGGAGTAACTGCTCTTTAAATTCAATTCAGAAAAGTGTTGAGCCCTCTTCTAAATGCCTGCTCTATCTCCCCCAAACAAACAAAGAGTGTCAGCGGATACAATGCAAAACAAACTGTCCTCTGTAATCTATCCTGCCAAACACAGCAAGCTACTTTAAACGGACTTACTTTCTAGTTCTTCTTTTTCAAACTTGGTGTTCACAGTTGAGCTGGTTTTGCCAAGATCCACAACAGCTTCTTCATCAGGCCCCTAGAAAGAAATTATTCTCATTTATAAATGACATCAAAATTGACAGAGGCCCCACTATGTGTATGATCTGGGAGAGTTAAAAAATAAAAAAGTGCATGTAAAAAGCTGGCTTTTTCTCAAAGAAGTGAATTATTCTAACTGCCTTCTTTTTAAAAGATATATAGATTTTGTTTTGTTTTGGTAGTTGAATCCACAGGAGGCCACTTAAGATTTCATGTTGTTCATTCTTCTGTTACTTCTTATCCAAAGGATGTCAGATAGATAGAAATCCTAAAACTAGCAATATTTGCAGAAAGCCTTATAGACAGAAGTGGAAAAGGAAAGGTTGTTTTCTGGAAATGAGACAGTTTCTCTTTGGCTATCTAGATTCAATTAACATCATCGAATTCAACTATTGAATTATAGTCCTTTTCTAGAAATGTACCTTTCGAAATGTGACAGGATGACTAACTTCATGACCATCCATCAGTCCAAAGCTGTAAAACTTAGAGAGAGGAGACTGGCCATGGAGCAGCTGGTCGATTCACACTACCAGACACACAGCCTTTTTGAACACCTCATATCACAGCATATCTGCCGACTAACACGCGAGAGCTCCCCAAACATTACTAGATAACTTACACATTTCACTTCATTCTCAGCAGAAAAGACTGCCTGTTCCCCAAAACAGAGAGTAAAAGAAAATCTGCATGGGTTAGACCCTTAGATGTCAACACAAAATGCATTCTTTCTGGGTTTTTACTCTTAGATATTCAAATAAAAACACTGAACTAGACGTGATTATGGCAACACGCAGATACAAAAATTGAGTTTATGACTTTTTAATAGTAGTCAACAGTAGTTAATAGCAGTCACCAAAATAAAGATTTAAATATCATAGGAAATCCGTTGTTTTTAGGCAAAGCTCGGATGTGTCAACAAGCATAAGCAATGTAATTCTTCATGTGTGACTAAATATGGTCATGACACAAAGAAAATGAGAAAAAGTTTACTCTGGAGTCATAATATACAATGTCAATTTCACTGTGAAGACCATCAAAGTTATAAGGATTTCTTATCTTTTCCTAAAGAAAAATAAGCTCAAATTTACATCTGAGGAGATTAGTCTAGCTTTGAACTATAAAACTCTATGCTTATAATTTTTCCATTCTTGAGTGAAAACGAACAAGCAAACAAAACACTGCGTAAAATCCTGCAGAGGTTCTTTTTAAGGGGGGGAAGCCTGTTAGTTTTAACTTCTCACTTTCTAACTTACAAATAAGCATCAATGTCATTAACTATTATGAGATCAGTGTGCATAGGATTCAGTATCGCAGGTTCAGATACGCGTATCTGCTTGTTTCAAAGTCTTCAGCTGAGGCTTGGGCTCTCCTGGAAGCTCCGGGAACTGACGCCCGCACTCTGGATGCATGACTGGCACAGGGCTGGAGGGAGCTGTCTGGGGAATGTCCCGCTCCTGTAACTCTGACTGGGTGGTCATGAGGATCAAGCCTCAGATCACGGCCCTACGCTTGCACCTGGGCCAGCTGGGTAAGGATGACGAGAGCGATGCCCCCTCACTTCCAGAGCCCTCAGGAGAGTCTAGTTCATGTTAAGTGACAAAGAGAGAGAGCAGTCCACGAAAGGCGGGAAGTGCAGTGAAGGCCTTCAGCCGTGCACAACAATGACCAGAAACAGGAGATGGACTGACAGTTACATCAAAAAGAAATCTTCTAGGCTGTAACACTTCCATGATACATCTTCAAGGATATGAACAGTACGGCTAAGCACAACTGATAACAGTGCATCTAAATTCCAAAATCAATCTCCGCAATAGTCTATGTGTTTCCTACTGCCAAAGGGGCCCTTTAGAGTAGTGAGAGAAG